GACCCCATCTCAACCAATGTGTGAGTGCAATGGTACATACCTAGCTAGCATCCCAGCTACTTGGGGAAGCACAAATAGGAGGACGGCAGGTCCAGGTCAGACCAAACCTAAAGCAAGATCCTATCTGAAAAATAACCAACTTTACAAAAAGGGTTGGCAGAATGGTGCAGGAACCTGCCTTGCAAGGGTCCTCACCCTGAGTTCAAACCCAGTACTGCCAAGTACTGCCAACACAAAACAAGCAAAACCCCCTGTCCCAGTAGCTACTGAAGAGATGCTGCTTGAAGACACTGAGTGTGCAGCTCAGACCCCAGTGCAGCCAGGGACAAGAGTGGGTCTGAAGTTGGTGGCCTCTCTTCCACTCTAGGCTGGGGTAGACAACAAAAACTTCAAAGTCACAGGCAGCAGCCAGAGATCTCATTGGTAGGCTGTGCTTCTGCGAGGCAGGATGAGAGGCAGCCAGGGATGGTAACGGGGCCTGGGACCAGGCTTTGGTAGAAGAGCTTTACAGCAGTGGCTCTGAAACTGCTGCAAATACAGCTGCCTGTGAACTCTCACCTGGGGAGCCCCGTGCCCAAGGACTGGGGTATCACTCGGTATGAGAATGTATGTTTAGCATGGGAAGATCCTGGGTTCAATCTCCATCACTACAAAGTCCCTTGCCTGGGCCACACCCCTCACCAATTAAAGCAAAAACCCCAGGGTGGGCTCCAGGTCCTCCATGACTTCAGTGTGCCACCAAGTCTGAAAGCCAGACATCTAAGGCACTGGTTCACAAACAAGTTCAAATCAGGATCGCCTGGAGGTTTCTTATCCCCGGAGGGTTCTGACTCAGTGGTTCTGGGTGGGATTTGCATTTTTACCATTGCCAACAATGCTGATAGACACTCACTGCGCCAGTGGTCAGAGAACTTTTTGTTTTGTTTTTGTTTCAGACGGGGTCTCACTATGTAGCTCAGACTGGCCTTGAACTCATGGTCCTCTTGCCTTAACCTCTCAAGTGCTGGGATTGCAGGTGTGCACCTGCAGGCATGGTCAGAGGATTTACGTATCAGGAATTTATCAGTTTTAGGCTCATAATTTCTCCCGAGACATCGTCAACTTATTCTGGGTAATGGGCTCCCATTGGATGGGCTGTATCTGTTGAGACAGGGTCCTTTTGCCCTGACAATGCGACCTTACTGGTCTGGGCTACATGGGGGTGCCCCTGTGGCAGGGGTTGGCTGGTCTCCTGGCCCTTACACACCTTTCTCTACTTACTTCATCAGACAGCTGATGAACGCAGGTATGACAGCAGTTCGGGGACAGTGACTGTTTTCTGACCCATACAGTGTGACTGATGACTTCTGGCCCCAGGCTTATGGCATGAGGCACGTCATATGGTGTGACTGCCTCCTACTGGGATGTGAGACGTTCTGATGATTTACAAGGACAACTTTTTTATGGGGGTGCTGGGGCTTGAACCCAGGGCTTCACATATGTTGGGCAAATGCTCCATCACTGAGCTACTTCTCCATCCCAGGAACAGATTTTAAACTCAGGATTGCCCAAATCATTCAGAAAAAAATGTCAGTAATCTGTAACCAGCAAGAGGTAACTGCTAGGCTTGGCGTAAGAGGTCTTTCAACAGGCCTGCAGTGGGCCAGAAACACAGGGCCAGGCAGGGATGCCATGTTCGATGTCATCCAACCCCAAGACCACGTCACTGGAGATGTGGTCTCCATCCACAGGAACAGTGTTGACCCCTGAGGTTTGCTCATCCAGCTCTCCAGTTCCATTTTCTGTCAGGGGTTGCATAAACTATTGCCACTTTTAATTGGAGTTAAAAGACACTTTAGCCGGGCGCCGTGGTGTACATCTTCAATCCTAACTACTCAGGAGGCAGAGATCAGGAGGATCGTGGTTCGAAGCCAGCCTGGGCAAATAGTTCTCAAGACCCTATCTCAATAAAACCCTTCACAAAAAAGGGCTGGTGGAGTGGCTCAAGGTGTAGGCTATGAGTTCAAACCCCAGTACCACAAAAAAAAAAAAAAAAAACTTTAAATGTGAGCCCTCTCCAGGCGCTCCCTGGAGTCAAACATTAAACAAGCTATGTAACCACACTGCCCTGTGCTGGGTACACACGTCCAAGGTCCGAGCTGGACAAACAGACTAGACGTCAAGCGCACTCCAGGTGAGCAAATGTTTGAGAAGGAACGTGCAGGAGTTCCTGGGCACAACCACAAGGAAAGTGGAGTGATCTGTTCAGCCACTGAGCACCACCCCAAAGGCAGTACTCAGGGGTTAACAACCCTCTTCTGGGAGCTCCCCATGGCAGATGACCGTGACAGAAGGGCATAGCCTCTGCTGCAAACCAGGTGGCAAAGGTGTCGTCATCACCTCAGACCCTACTCAACCTCTGTACTACAAACCCCCCCCAGGGGCTTCTCCTCAACCCCAAACCTCTGTGGTATCTGAGAGAAGATCCCCTCAAACTTGCCGCTTCCATTGGAGACAAATAAAGAAAAGTGTGAAATAGGATAAGAGGCTTTGTTTAATTCAGAGAATAAGTTATTAGGGGGGAGTGTGGCTCAGTGGTACAGTGCTTGCCTAGCATGTTCAAGGCCCTGGGTTTGATCTCCAAAACCCCTCCCCGCTAAAAAAATTACTCTTCAAGTAATTCAGATAGTTCACTTCAAATAAAACAGGATCTTCCAAATAGAAGCAAACACACCTGAGTTTGAATCCTGGCTCTGCCACTTGACAGCTGTGTGACCTCACTGAGCTTCCATTTCCTGTCTGCAGAGTGACAGTCCCACCTCACAGGGCTCTTAGTGAGCCAGGCAGAGAAGGCGCCCAGGGCACGGCTGGGTCACAGTGGGTCCTATGTCATCCCTTTCTCTCGAGGACAGCTTTACTCGTCTCTCAGTCTTTGGCAGTTGTCACAACCTCTGCCCCAAACCACCTTTCCTCTTCCCTTCCCTTCCTAGTCTTTAAGACCTCCACTGAGATGACACTGAGTTACTCACTTGTCCTAATTTCATTAGTATCTTCTCCTTCCAACACCACTGGGGGCTGTCACTTAGTGTCACACAAATGATGAAATGCTAGAACACAGGCCATGTCCTCACACACCTAAGTTCAAATCGTGGTTTTTGCCTCCTACTAGCTGCATGACTTTAAGAAACAGTCACCTGTCGGTGGTTCACACCTGTAATCCTAGGTACTCAGGAGGCAAAGATCAGGAGGATCAAGCTCGAGGCCAGCCGGGCAAATGGTTCTCAAGACCCCGTCTTGAAAATACCCAACACAAGAAAAGGCTGGTGGAGTGGCTCAAGAGGCAGAGCGCCTGCCTAGCAAGCATGAGGCCCTGAGTTCAAACCCCAGTACCACAAAAAAAATATAAAATAAAAAATAAAAAAATAAACAGTCCCTGGTGACAATAATCCCACTTATTAATCAACGTGGCAAAGTTTATACGTTTTGCATATCAGAGGCTAAGCACACCCCCTGGCCTGCAGGTAGAAGGTGATCAAAGCTAGCTCTTGCTACTACTGGTTCTTCCTCACGTGTTCACTGTTGTCCCCTGCTGACCGCATTTCTGCAGACCCAATAATAAGGTGGCTTCCAAGCTGCTCTCCAGCCTCTGCCCCTCCCCACTCCACATCCTGTTGTCAAGTTTAGCTTCCTCCCCTGCCCTGGGCCCCTAATTTAAGGACCTGCTAAGGTTAACGACATTTGTCCAAACCTCCAACCACCCTTCCCCCAGACTCTTACCACTTCCTACAGACACGCCTTCCTGTGCAACCAGCCTGCCTTCCTCACTGTCACATTAAGAAACACCGTGCGGGTCCCCCTGCTTCCCAGCCTGGGCTCAGCACAGCGTCCTCCCGCCCTGTGACTTGCCAGATTCAACTCTCCTGCTGGCAGTTCATGTGCTACGCACAGCCCTCTCTGACCCGACCTGTCCCCTCACACGTCTTTCTCTGAATTTCTGCAGTTCTTGTCAGCACAAAAGCAGTCACAGTCCATGGGTCCTGAAACTGCCCTAGGGATGCAGCAGATCTGAAGTACACATGTGGTGATCAAGTGAGCCCACTTTACAAGTGAAGGCTGAACGGAGACAGAGGACTTCAACAGTCCCAGGCTCCCAGATCTAACTGGTAACACAGGAGACAAATGCAGTAACCACTGCAAAGAGCTTGCTTGGAATTATTCTTTTATGGGTCTAGAAGGACTGTATACCACAGAAAGTCCTGTGTGATTGGCTGCTTTACTTTTCATTTATCATAGTTTCATAAAAATAATCACTTTGGCCTGGTGCCAGTGGCTCACGCCTGTAATCCCAGCTACTAAGCAGGCAGAGATCAGGAGGATCGAGGTTCAAAACCAGCCCAGGCAACGAGTTCCTCAAGACTCTATCTCAAAAAAACCCTTCACAAAAAAGGGCTGGTGGGATGGCTCAAGGTGTAGACCCTGAGTTTAAGCCCCAGCACTGCACATATACACAGAAATCATAATAATAATCACTTTGAAAACAGTTGGATTTTTTCTTCCTAATTGCTGGAACTGTTTGAATGTTTGTTGCACAAACAAGCGAACAAGCCAAGGAGGGGTTTCGGAGGTATCAAGCCCGTCCCACAGCGTGTACCGCTTAAAAAAGAAAAAATGGTTTTTGCAGTGCTGGGGATGGAAGCCAGGGCCTCATGCATGCCAGGCAAGTGCTGTACTCTGTACCACATCCCAGCCCACCTGGTAATCTCTCCCAACTTCTCAATCATCCAAATGCACACGAGTAAAAGGCTGGGCTTTCTATGCAGATGTGGCTCAAGAACGGTGCCCAGAGCCCCTCCAACGCTGAAATTCTGGAACTACCTCGGCACACGGTGAGGGCATTACAAGGGCGAGGACCTCTGACTGTCACAGACGCGCAGCACAGGGAGGGGGGATGCCGCCCCGGACACCATCCTCCCGGCCCTGGGAGAGTGTCCCCACTGCCCTGTGGGGACGCTGCATCTTACCACTGTCCCGCAGGGTCTGGGTCAAGTCCTCCACCAGGGCCACTGCCTCCTCGCTGCCTTCGGGACGATGCTCCTGCAGCCAGGCCTGAATTTCCCTGGGCAGCGTGGTCAACATCTGCTCCCTTGAGTGCACCTCCGGCCTCAGCCAGCGTCGACAGAGTTCTCGCAGGCGGCCAAGTGCACCCTGTGGTCCCCCAGATGCGACCTCCTCCTGGGGGCCGCCCTTGCCAACACTCTGGGGAAAAGGCTCAGACTCAGGGCCGTCTTCCTGCAGTACCGCTTCTTGCACCCACGAGTCATCCTCCAGGATCACAGTGGTGACCTCCGCCCGTTCCTCTTCCTCTTGAGGCACCTGCACCAAAGGACTGAGAGGAGTGGTCACTGCTGGCACCTCTGCAGCCATCATCGACCTCCCTGGGGTGATGACCACTCAGGCATCAAACTTTGAACCTTGGTCTTCTCCAGCTGGCCTCTCTGGAAAGGCACCTCTCTCCTCAAATCTCAACAAGAAGTCCTGCTGACAAACAAGACAGCCAGAATCAGTAAAACTGACCAAAACCATCTAACACACAACAGCTGGGGTCAGGCCACCACACGATCCTGACATCCACAAGCCATCAGAAGTCTCCTGTCCCTCTGTCAAAAGAAGAATGCCTTATTCCTGAAAGCATTATCTCTCTCTGACAAGAGAAGTTAAAAGTACCACAAGCACACACACACACACACAAACACACCACTGTTCTTTCCAAAAGACCAAAGAACGAGTCTCAGAAATGCAACGTTTTTCAGGGCCAGGGATGCAGCCCAGTGGGTAGAGCACTTGCCTGACACCTGCCTGCCCTGGATTTGTTACCTAGGAGAGGAAGAGAGTGAGGCGGGACAAAGACAGGGAGGGGGAGAGAGAGAGAAAGAGAGAACGAAGAAATGCAATGTTCAAAAAAAAAAAAAGACTAACTTATCCTGCTCTAAATTCACATTTGCTGCAGAGTGAGTGACCCTGACCTAACTTACAACTTAGTCACTCAACCTCAGTGACCACCTAATAAACAAATAAAGCTCATCCTTCATATCTTACGGGGACATCGTGAGGATTAGCAATGGATCAGATGTCAGGGCACTCTGAGTGTCACTGGAAGGAAGGCAGTATCTCAAATGCTGTTCCATAGTTTATTTATTTATTTATTTATTTATTTATTTTAATTCACATGTGCATACAATGTTTGGGTCATTTCTCCCCCCTTCCCCCACACCTTTTCCATATTTTAAAGTGCAATCACCCATCAGTGTCCTAAGGGGATTGGTTCCTAGAACCCCTACAGATTCCAAAATCTGTGGCAGCTCAATCCTTTATATAAAATGGTGACACATTTTCACTTAACACACACATCCTCACATGCTTTGACTAGCTGCTAGATCATATAATACCTAAAACAAGTACTATGTAAATAGTTATTATACTGTATTTTTAAAGAATGACGAAAAAAAGGTCTATACACATTCAGTATAGATACAATTTTTTAAAAATATTTCTGATTCCAATACAGAAGGCCAACTATAGGAAGTTTTGAAAACATTCCTGTCTGAGCCAACCTTGGCGCTCAGGAACTATCCTGAAAAGTAACCATCTTTGCAAGGAGAAATTTATTTGCAAAGATACACAATTACAGAATTGTTTCCAATTGCAAAAGGCTGAGCTCTTAAAAATCTAGCAGCAGAAGAATTAAAAAGTATTGTAGCACACAGTTATGTGCAGCAGAATGTGTTAAGAAGTGTCGTAACATAGTAACGGCTACCTCTGGTGGGGTACTGTGTGAGAAGGGACTCAAAGCAACCTCATGGAGTGCTGGCAAGGGTCTGTATTTTGATTTCCCAATAGCTGCAGGAGAGCATGTGTATGTTTTTTTTTTTAATTTTTCTTTCGTGGTGCTGGGGATTGAACCCAGGGCCTCAAACATGCAAGGGCAAGTACTCCACACGGAGCTACACCCTCAATCCAATATTTTACAAAATTATACTGTCAACGATGATTAATCAAAAATAATTTCAGACAATCCTAATAAGAAAACAATGCATAAAAATGCAAAAAAAAAAAAAATCAGCAAACAGAAACACCATATACAGTAAGACTTCAATTTCCTTTAAAAAGACCTGGACCTGGATGTAGCAGGCGCTGGTGGCTCACGCCTGTAATCCCAGCTACTCACAAGGCAGGATCAGGAGGATCACGGTTCAAAGCCAGCCCAGGCAAATAGTTCGAGAGACCCTGTCTTGAAAAAACCCTTCACAAAAAAGGGCTGGTGGAGTGGCTCGAGGTGAAGGCCCTGAGTTCAAATCCCATAACACACACACACACACACAAACCTGGATGCGAACTCTACCAAATATTCAGAGCGGTAGGATCACAAACGATTTCAATTCACGATTACAAAAGCAATGACACAGTGTTTTTAAAAACCGGCCCCGCCTCGTAAAGACCCAGACAACTGCCCCGAAAGGGGGCAGGAGACAGGAAAAGCTAGGGTCAGAATCGCAACAGCAACGCAGGCCAGGCGGCGGTAAAGCGAGGCTGAGGACGCGTCGCTTGACCGAGGTGACCGAGGTGACCCCAGGCGTCACGGTCCCACTCGGGAGCCGGGAAACCCGCGCCTGGACGGTAACTCGCCGCCGGGTCAGACACGCCCCCGTGGAGCCTCAGTTTCCCCGTCTGCACCAGCAGGAGGCTGCGCGGGACGGCGCCGCGCGGGGACGAGGTCCCGGCGGGTGCCCCGAGCCGCGCGCCAAAGTCCGAGCGAGCGCCGGGGCCCCGCCGCCCCCGCCGCCGGCTGCAGGCCCGGGCCTCGCCCGCCTGGCGCAGCTTTCCGCCGCCCGGCGGCCCCGGCTCACCTCTCCCGACGCCAGGTGCCGCTCCGGCCGCCGCTCCGGCCGCCGCTCCGCGCGCAAAAGTGCCCGGGCTCGGCCCGCCCTCCCGAGTCACCCGGACTCAAGCCCGTGGGGCACCGAGAACAATGGACGGGCGAGGCCCGCCTACCAACCGCGCTCATTGGCTACCGAGGAACGCCCCTGGAAACTCTGCTCGGTGATTGGTGGAGACAGCGCTCGGCTGGTCGGCAGGAGGGCGTGTGGGCCCGAAGCATTGTGGGAGATGTAGTCCACCCAGATACGACCCGGACGCGGGTCACGGAGAGGAGTTTGGGGTTGATAGCTTGGAGCCAGATGCAGAGAAACCCCACGCACTGGCCGTCAGTACCGCAGTGCAGGCCAAAGGTGTCTCCTCTAAGGCCTGCGTGTAGAAAGTTGGATGGGAGAACCTGAAAGTCCTTTGCAGCTGAGAACTGTGTGCAAGAGAGATGGCTGAACCCTCGATGCGCAGCAGCTGAGGAATCTGCGCAGGTCAAGGCCCTTGCCGTGCAAAATGGACCTAGGCCCCTGCACCGGCCCTCTGTTTGCCCACGTGGTTTCCTGCGTGTGGAGGAAAGCCCCGCTCTCCTGGCCTGGGACGTCCCCCATCCCGCCGGGCCTCCTCCAGGGAGCCCGCTGGGTCTTCACCTCCCTAGGCAGACACCGCCCCAGCACACCTGTCGGATGGTTGCACCTTAGTTCTCCTCCCAGGATTGCTTGCTTGTTCATCTCAGCACTGGGGGTTTGGCTTCTGTCCTGGTGTTCTGCAGAAACGCTGCCCCAACACAGGATGAAACTGGGGTGAGGGAGGGGGAGAAACTACCTGGGGACCCGTGGGAAATCTCAGGAGGGGAGGAAGGGCCCCCATGCTCTGCCATAGAGCAAGCGTGTGCAGAGCGGTTTCTGGAGACCCACAACCAAATGACCACATTTGTAGGGTGATGTTTGCTGGTGACTTTTATCTCGTTTTCTGTGAACTGGTGGCTCACGTCCTTTTCCCGTTTTTAAGTTGAGTTTATTCGTGAGAGTTCTTTGTGGAGTAAGAGAATTCGCCTTTAGTAACAGCAGTTACTGCTTTTCTCAGCTTGCGTATGGTGGTTTATTAAACACAGAAGCTTGAGTGTTCCTGAGGTCGGTCTTGTGTTACGGATTCAGGGTTTGGGGTTAGAAAGTCCTCTGCATTACTCCAAAGATCATTTGAAATTCAGCTGATTTAATTACTTATTTAATCCTTAATTGATCCAACAGAAAGCAGTGTACAGCCGTGTTCCTGGGTGTGGGATTGAGTCCTATCCCCAAGCTAAAACTTCGACCCCATCTTAATTTATTCCCTGAACTGACCTCATGCTAACAGCGCCATCTTCAGGCCAGCCTGAGACGTCAGCCGGGCTTCATCTTCCACGGCCTGCAGACCTAGAGAGAGGCACGTGAGAAAAATGACTGATGTGACCTTGTGTTAACAAAGATTTGTTTTTCCACTTGTCTGTCCTTGCTGGGAGTGGAAATTCACACAAAAGGGAAAAGACTGGAGGGGATTGGTCTCTGACCCCATCTCAAGTCAACTGTTGGCCACAAGAACTGGCACTAACTTGTCACAAGAGAGTCCTAGGGCTGATTCTCTGGGAGGCTGGTCCTGGCCAATGTCACCTCTCCCAGGTGAGACAGAGACCAGTCCATAGCCTGTTTGGCACTATTGTGAAGGTCCCTGCTACCCAAGCCAATCCCTGCAGCCATTGTGAGACAGCAGGGCGGACCTAGAAACACAACCGAGTTCATGGGCTCGCTCCTGGCCAAGCCACCGGGGAGGGAAAGGCTCGGTTCTACCAAGGAGCGTTCCTGCTGAAAAGGTTCAGAGAACTTCTCTGGCTGATTTAAGCAAAAGGGACTTAAGGAGTAACCGTCAGAGCTCTCAGGTAGGAACTGAAGGGCCAAGCTTGAGAACAGATGAAAACAACACAGCAATAACGTCTTAGCAGAGACAATCCAACCTGCCCATCCCATCAGCCTGGTGATGCTACGGCCGTTCGTGACTCCTGCCTTCCTCACTCAGCTCCCCCAGGACAGGGAAAGAGCATTTGGGCCTGGCACCGGCGGCCTAGCTACTCAGGAGGCAGAGATCAGGATGCTCTTAGTTCAAAGCCAGCCCAAGGAATAATTAGCAAGACCCTGTCTTGAAAAAACCCATCACAAACAAGGGCTGGTGGAGTGGCTCAAGGTGCAGGCCCTGAGTTCAAACCCCAGTACTGCAAAACAAAAGTAGCTTCCAGACAAGTTTCCAGAGCAGCTTGTCCAACTACAGGGCTGCTCCAAAGCCTCTCCTGTCACAAATATGGAACCCATAATTGTGACACTTACGAGCCATGTGGACTGGGAAGCTGAAACCTCCTCAGGAATTGTTCAGTGCCAAGAATGGTTCCCTTAATCGGCTTTTGTTATTGTGTATTTGATTTGGCTCATGCGTGCACACGCGCACACACACACACACACACGCACACACAACTTGAATTGTTTTAAATAATAAAACCATTGCACTCAGACATCAGAAAGAAAAATAAAGATAAATTTGCATAGACAAAATTTAAAAGGGCTGGCGGAGTGGCTCAAGTGGTAGAGCCCCTGCCTAGCAAGCGTGAGGCCCTGAGTTCAAACCCCAATGCTGCCATATAAATAAATAAACTGAACAAAATTTGAAATGTTTGCACAGCATAAAAGGTCATAAGTGGGATGGGGTGTAGCTCAGTGGTAGAGCACTTGCCTAGCGTGGTGAGGCCCTGGGTTCAATCCCCAGCACTGCCACACAAAGAAAAAAGTGGGAGGGGGAAGATCGTCAAAGAAGTCAACAGACAAATGACAAGTGGGGGAAGAATTGTCACACGTGTGACAAGGGCCAATTCTAATTATGGTGGGTTTGTAAGAACATAAGAAAGACCAACAACTGAACAGAAAAATGGACAAAGGGGAAAAGGTCACAAAGAAAGGCTTAGCCTCACAAGTAATCTCTGGGATTTTTAGGGGGCCTTGGGGGCTTTTTCGGGGAATAGTTTTTGTTCTTTGTTTGTTGGGGGTGGTTGGTGGAGAAGGTGGGCAATAATTCACTAGTAATTATTTTTTCTCTTTTTTGTGACAGGATCTCACTATGCAGCCCACACTGGCCCCAAACTCTGTCCCCCAACCTCAGTCTTCAGAGTGCCGGGATTATGTGCATGCACCACCATGCCCCACTTCTACTAGAAATTTTAAAATGAAAATCAAACAAATATTCGTCCTAAAGTATTGGATCCAGACAAAAATTTCAAAGTGTGATAATACACAGTAGGGTGGACAGGAAAAGAATGCGCTCTCATACTCTTGGTGGTAGTATAAACTGGTGCCATTATTTTGAAGGGAAATCTAGTAATTCAATAGCCAGGAATATACCTTACAAATAAAATCATAAAAATATGCTTATATAGCTGGGTGTGGTGGTGCATGCCTGTAATCCCAGTTACTTGGAAGTTGCACCAGTACCAGAAGACAGACAGACAGATAGATAGATATAGGCTGATTTATGTAAGAATTTATTTTACTTATTACGGTGATGCTGGGGTTTGAACTTAGGGCTTCATGCTTGCTGGGCAGGTGCTCTATCACCTGAGCCACTCTGCCAGCCCCTGCAAGAATGTTTATTAGCACAGTACTTAATAGAAAAAAAATTTTTTTGCAGTACTGGGGTTTGAACTCAGGACCTACACCTTGAGCCACTCCACCAGCCCTGTTTTGTGATAGGGTTTTTTCAGATAGGGTCTCGTAAACTATTTGCCCAGGCTGGCTTTGAACTACGGTCCTCCTGATCTCTGCCCCCTGAGTAGCTAGGATTAGAGGCGTGCAGCTCCGGGCCCAACTAGAAATAATTTAGATGCTTATAGATGGAGACCTAGATAAAAATTTTTGGGCCCTCTTTACCCCAAAATTCTATTTCGCTTTTTTTTTTTTTTTTTGGTGGTACTGAGGTTGTTTTGGTGCCACCATGCCTGATCCTTCTATTGAAAATGAGGTGAAAGGCCCAGAAGCACACACCCAGCACTCAGGAGGCAGAATCAAAAAGATCAGAGGTTCAAGGCCACCTGATATAGTTCAGGCCACATAGTGAGACCCCCATCTTGAAAAAATAAACAAAAAAAAAAATCCATATGTCAGTGCTCCAGTGGGACATTATTTATGGAAGTGAGGTGCCTTTAATCCCTCAGGAGAAAGGCAGTGGGAGGATCTCCATTTGAGGCCAGCCCAGGCAAAAGTTAACAAGACCCCATCTCAACTAACAAGCTGAGTGTGGTGGTAACAAACTGTAATCCCAGTTACTCCCAGGTAACGAGGTAGGGGGTCATGGTCTGAGGCTGGCCCCAGGCAAAAAAAAAAAAAAAAAAAAAAAAACACAAAAAAACAAGACCCTTCTGAGGCAATAACTAAAGCAAAAGGTGGTAGGGCACCTTCCTAGTGAATTTAAGACCCCGAGTTCAAACCCTGGTACTGTCAAAAAAAAAAAAGAAAGAAGGAAAGATCAAAGGTTAAGGGGCAAGATGACACTTCGTGGTTAGCTCAGGGGCAAAGGGCTTGCCTAGCCTGTAGGAAGCCCTAGGTTCACCCCTGCCCCACAGTGAGCAAAGTGCAAAGTGACACCAGCTTATGTTGAATTGTTTTTTTGTGGGACTGGGGTTTGAACTCAAGCCTTCCCACTTGCAAAGCAGGTGCTCTCCTGCTTGAGCCACAACTCCAGTCCATTTTGTTGTGGTCCTTTTGGAGATGGGGGCTCAAATGATTTGCCGGGGCTGGCCTTGAACTGTGATCCTCCAGATCTCAGCCTCCCAATTAGGTGGGGGGTGGTCCAGGTGTGAGCCACTGCACCCAGCTTATGCTGAAAATTTGAAAACTACAGGAATTTATAGAATATATGTAGCAATCTGTATAGAGAAAGATACAACACTCGTGCGGTATTTCAATACCCAGAATAACCTGTTACCATTGTCGTGCGGTACCTTTCCTTGTTTTTGTTTTGCATTGTGTTGTTTTCTAGAAA